GAATTCAGCCACTGGATTCAGCGGAGCACTCTCGCCCTTTCAGAATCATGGTCTCCCCCCTTCCTACCTGGGGGCCACGCAGAGCTCAAGCCTGCAGTAACGACTGCTCGCTCGGCCACCAGGCTGACCTTCTTAAACCACCACTTTCCTCAAACAACTGCATCTCTATCAAAGCCAAAGACGGCCCCTTACCCTCTGTGGCTACTGAGCAGAATGAAACTTGTTAACCTCTCTCTAGACTCATTCAGGAGCCCCCAGTCAGCCCCAATCCATGACAACAAACCTAACTATATCTCACGCTAACTGCAAAGCTAAACCTCTTACTACACTGATAACACAGTTAAACCAAAAAGGGTCACTTCTATTAAAAGAAACCCTTATTGGAACCAGCAGTTAGTGTAATGGCTATGTTGCTGGACTCCCATGTAGTTGACCACGGTTCGAATCCCGGACTCGATGGCTTAAACTCACGCCATGTGCGTGTCGTGCGTGCCCAAGATCCCAAAAAAATGGAGGAGAAGGGATTGCGCCATGGCCATCCCTCCCTGGGGGGGATGATTTCTCACTTTCTGTCTCTCTGTCTCTTTCTGTCTTTCTGGCAAGCACACACACCAGATAGCAAAATCCTCTCCCCCCCAAAAAAAAGAAAGAAAGAAAAGAAACCCTTATTAGGGCCTGCAGGTTACATGGTGATTAAGGTGCTAGAGTCCCATATGGCCGACCACAGTTCAAGTCCCAGACCTAGGGGCTTGCCTTCTCACTCTCCCCATCTCTCTCTCTGTCTCTCTCTGGTCAAGTTGAAGAATAATAATAAATAAATAAAATTACACAAAATAATCCTTAAAAAAAAAGAAAAAAAGAAAACCCTTATCCTGGGGCCAGCAGGTGGTACAGTGTTGGTTAAAGTGTTGGACTCCCACGTGGCCGACCACTATTTGAGTCCTGGACCCGGTGGCTTGCAACTCTCACCAGGTCCACGTCGCATGCATGCCCAAAACCCCGAGAGGAGAATGGAGAAGGGATTGGAGCATGGCCATGACCCGTGGGGGGTGATTTCTCACTCTGTCTCTCCGGAAGGCACACATGCCCTATATGGCAAAAATCTCTGCCCACCAATAATAAATTTTAAAAATGTTAAAAGAAGCCTTTACCTTAATCTTTTCTTCAAAAAAAAAAAAAAAAGATTTTTGATGCAAATAGGTTCCTTTCGATTATCTAAAAGCATGTTTTCATTAAGAGATCTGCCACTATAATTTCCAGGTCTTGGAGCATATTATTAAAAACTGAGCAATAAAAAAATCCGTGGACTACAAGGCACACATGTCCACAGAACTCGGGACGCGGAGCCACTGCTATGTAAGAGTAGAATGTATGCGCCCTTGTTTCGCACCCCCCATAAAGTGCTCATCAGTACACAATGCACCCACAGTGTGAGAAACACCCCTTCCCTACAAAAAAAAACAGTGGAGAACAACTCGTGGTAATTTAATCAATCTTTTCAAAATTAATGGGCATGCCCCACTGTTTCAATTTGCATTCACTGGAATGCCCTGGGAGTTGTTTGTTTCCATATTTCTGGCCATCTGTACTTTTTCTCCTGGGTCCTGACTATTCAAGACCTTCGGCATGCTCTTTGTAGAGTATTGGTCATTTCCTGATTGCCTTGAAAGAACTTTACATACTAACCATTAGTCTATCACGTTCATCGCAAACGCTTGTAAATTGTTGAGGTTTTTGTTCGGCTGGTCTGGTATGGAAATTTTAATTTTGGGGGAAGTTTGGCATTTCTATGTTTGGCATTTCTTTAAGGCCTTAATTGTAAAGGTCTCACTTACATAACTAAGAAACAACCTAATTGTACAATATTTTTCTCCTAGCTTTTTAATGAGTTCATTTTTAAAATTTAAAGCATGCCTCTATAAAAATACCACTGTCATAAATGATTAAAAATAATAATAAAACAATTAAAAATAATAATAAAAAGCTGAAGGATTACACCAGAGTATAAGAGACGAAGAGATACAACTACTAAATATGCATGTGATTCCAGACTGGTTGCTTAATGGAGAGGAAAATATTCTACGAAGAACCTTTTTTGGTTAATGGATACAATACAAACAGTAGGTTAAATAAAAGTATTAATTTTTTTAAAGATTTAATTTTATTATTATTTTTTTAATTTGCTATATGTCACATGTGCTCACCAGAGAGAGACAGAGAGAGACACAGAGAGAGACAAACAGTAAAAAAAGCAAGCTACCAAATCTAGAACTTGAACCACAGTCAGCCATGTGGGAGTCCTGCACCTTAACTGCCATGCCATTTGCTTTCCCAAAAAGTATTACTTTTTTTTTTTTTTTTGGAGAGGATTTTTTTGCTATAGAGCGTGTGTGCTCACCAGAAAGACAGAGAGAGACAAAGAGACAGAAAGCGAGAAATCACCTCCTGGGGGAGATGGCCACATTCCTCCATTCTCCTCTTGGGATCTTGGGCACGCACGCACACACGCCTGGCATGGGTTTAAACCACCAGGTCCAGGACTCGAACCATGCCGACTACGTGGGAGTCCAGCAACACAGCCATTACGCTAACTGCTGGTCCCAGAGCTCACTGTCAAAATAGCATGCACAGTGGAGGCAAAAGATACCCAACATTCAATCAATCAGGTGGAATAGATACCACCTCAGCAGATAAGCTCGAGGGTTTTGTTTTGACGAGTCTCCAGACACTGACACATGTAAGATTTCTGGCAACTGTATCAGCCATGCTCAGATGCTGGCTGTTTGAAAACTCAACAGTGTACACCAACTGAAATGCACTTGAGAATTCAGGCTAGCGTGATTCCTGATAGAGATCCCTAGACTCCAACCTCTGCTTTGTGGGTTACCTACATGAGTAAGATAAAATGTCTGAAACTTAATATATACTAGCGAAAACAAAAGGGGAGAAGGTGGAAGAAGTAAGGTAAAACAAAACTGGCAATGTTAATGATCATTAAAAGCTGGGTGATGGATATAAGGCAGTTCTTCAACTCTTTTTTCCACCTTTATCAGGTGTTTAAAACTTTTCATAATACAATTTTTTAAGAGAAAATTGTTTGCTGTAAGTTGTGTGCGCTCA